ATCCAATGATTTAGTGACCTGGTCGTAAAAGGCCACCAGGTTGGTCTGACAGGACCTGCCGCTGATGAACCCGTGCTGGTTGCCCCTGAGCATGCAGTTCCCTGCTGGCCCCTCCTGGATGTGTGCCAGAATAATTTTCTCGAACAGCTTGCCCAGGATCGAGGTAAGACTGACTGGCCTGTAGTTCCCCGGGTCCTCTTTCCTTCCCTTTTTGAAGATGGGAACCATGTTGGCCCTCTTCCAGTCCTCTGGCATCTCTCCAGAGCACCACGAGTGCTCATAAAGCCGTGCCAGGGGACTTGCAATGACCCCAGCCAGTTCCTTTAAAAAAGGACTTCTTGTTATCTTTGATCCTGGTCGCTAGTCCTAGTTCTGTCTCTGCCTTAGCCTTCTTGATAGCCCCCCTACAGTCTTGAGCAATGGAGGTATAATCCTACTTGGTGATGGCCCCTCCCTTCCACCAGGTGTATGTCTCTTTTGTACCCCTGCCCTGAGTGGAGTGTGGATCCCTGCCTTGCCCTGGGACTGCAGTCCCAGTTGACTTGCATCCTAATGAAGCTGGGACCAGGAAGCCACATGGTCCTTCCCACTCTCCTGCCTACCTAGCTGCCAGAGACCTGCGTTTGGGGGGGTGGCTCCATGCTCTGCTCTGGCAGTGTATAGCTGGAACAGGTGTGGAACCTGGCATTGCAACATGTAGGAGGTGCACACAGATGTATGTGCACCCCCTGAGATTGCAGGCAGTCGGCGCTTGCCATATCCCCTTTCCGCTGACTCTTCTGGTGGTGTCTGTGGGCTGTCACCAGTCAGCATTTGCCCCCGGCTCACCACCATCATGCCCCCAATGCCAACACTGCTGCTGCCTGTGCATAGTCGCTGTGCTCCCTCAGCCTTGGAAGGCACACAATGTTCATGAAGCCTGGACTCTGTCACTTGGGTCCCTTTGGGTGGCAGGATCGTGCTGGGAGGGCGGGGGATAGAGGGGATCTTGTTCTCTGTGGGGATATCTCTCCTTCCCCATTCACTGCCTCTTCCCTTTTCTGAGCTTAACTTGGAGGCTGCCCAAGTTGTGGCAGGGGCAGGGGCAGGGACAGTGTGGGGCTGTTCCTGCTTTGCCTGCAACA